GTACAAATGCGCTTTACACAATTGATGTGTGTATGGACTGCGATAACAGTTGTATGAGCCCCTAATAAAATGTTTAAAAAAAAAAAAAAAAGAGTGTTGCCATGCTACACCATGCTTCAAGACAAAATTTCATTTGTCATGAGAATAAATATTTCATAATATATAAGTACATATTGTTTTGTGATGAATCACTATGCTTTAATTATGTTCAATTTGTAACAAAAATATATCCTGCATATCAGATATTTATGACGATTCATAAAAGTAGCAAAATTACAGTTATGAAGTAGCAATGACAAAAATTTTATGGTTGGGGGTCATCACAACGCGCGGAACTATATTAGAGGGTCACAGCACAAGGACGGTTGAGAACCACTGCTCCAAGTGCTCTTGAAATCATGATTTCTCAGCAGTCTGCAATAGCTTAGCGCAGCACTTCTCAATGGGGCCCACAGAACTATCGCCGCACGCCCCATGCTCCACTTCAGGAGCCCAGCGTGGACTGAACTTGTGAAACACCACATGCCACCAATCCACCAGAACACGAGCGCACACAATGGGCTTCGGGAAAGCCTCTTGTAAAGACGCAGGCAACTGTACAAACGTAACGGGTGACCAGTTTATCAGACAGAAGAAATTCTTCTGCACAGCAGTCATTTAAATCCCTATGATCACTTTGGGAGGAGGCTCGTGTCTCCAGGCAGTGCCTACTCCCACGCCCAAGGCACGGTGTGAACAGACATTAACCTGAGCCCAGAACCAAATCCCACTCGAAACGGAAACTGCTATCCACATCCCCGCTCACCAAAAGCGTTGCCTCCACACAAGCTATTAGTCGAGAGCAAGCATGGTGGGGGAGGAAGCACAGTAGCAGCAATCACTCCCAGGTGTGTCTGGACCCCACGCAGAGGCCCTGAGCGCACACCACCTCCTTACCCCGTTTTCTGCACAGCGACTCCTAGCAGGGAAAAGAAAACGGGTCCACGCCGTCTGCTGGCACACGGGAGCAGAGGAGCTGAGAAACCGAAACAAAAGAGTGTACACCGTAGAGGCCGTGGCACTGGCCTCAGAAAGGGGTGGAGAAGAGCACCCCCCTCCGAGAAGCAGCAGAGAACAAATAGAGGGAGAGCAACTCCCCATCATTTTCCGGGCTGACCACCTTTCGACAGGCTCCCTCCATTAACGTAAAAAGAAGCTGTTCTGTTGTGTGTCGAGTCTAACTCAGTGTGACAGAGGGAACTCCCCAAGGGTCCCAAGGCTGCGAATCGTGACGAAAACAGACCAACACAACTTCCGTCCACAGCTGCTGGGTTCAAAATGCCAACCTTTCCGTTGGCAGCCACGCACTTAACCCCCGGACCACCAGGGCCGTAAGAAAGCAACTACGGTGTTTTTGTTGGTTGGTTCACGGCACAGGCTGTAAAGCTCCAGCGGTCCTTACAGGTGACCACACCCAAGAAACCCGCAGCTGGGTGGTCAGCAGGGCACCTTCCTTCCCACTTGACCCCAACTCAGGGTGCCGGAAGTCACAGGCAGCACTTACTTCCTGATGGTGGGAGAGCTTCACAGGGTGGGCATCATGAGCACGGCTGGAGCCAAACGATGATGAGAAGGATTTGCATTCTCCTCTGGATGGGGCTGCCGATTTTGTTCGCTCCACCAATCCCGTCTTTGTAAGAAAGAAAACAGACGTGTCAAAAGGTAGAGAAGAAACAGAAAAAAACAACAAACAGAACTTGTATATAAAACTTGTCTACTCAGGTTTTGAAGCCAAACAAAGTAATCCCCGAGGGAAGGTTACGCATGGAGAGGTGGAGACGCGGGGCTGGCATGCGAGGAAGTACCCTGGGGAAAAAGACAACACAGGTGTGGGTACAAACACAATTTTGGCCACCTGTGCTAGGCCTTGGGAGGCCCTTGCAGGGACCCTGATAAAGGCATCCCCAGAGGGCTGCGGGGGGTAGGGAGGAGCAAAAGTGGAACAAGGATTGGGGTCTGAGGAATTGCCAAGACGAGAGGTGGTGAGGCAGGGTGGTGGGAGCTTACTGGAGATCTAGGTGTGGCAGATACTTTACCAGTTCTTCGGAAATGCCAACTTAAACCACGTGTGGGCTTTTTATAAGCTTTAGAGACCACTAGTTAAGCCGGCAGGAGCCCTGGTGGCTCGTGGTTAGGCACTTGGCTGCTAACCAAATGATGGATTTCAAGCCCACCAGTCACTCCGGGGAGGGGGCTCCATGAGGTTTCCATTTCCAGCTTTGGAAACCCTATGGGGCAGTATATAAGCCCCAGGAGACAGGCCCACTCTGACCTACAGGGCTGCTATGAATCAGAACTGAGTCTACAGGGAGGCGTTTGGTTCTGGGTGGTTAAACCCCGTTGGGAACTGCTTTCCACCTGGCACTGTTAGGGCCCTGTTGGAGCGAGGAAGAACGCTGATAAGAGAATGAGACCGGGGCCACGGCATGGGGAGGGGAGGGGCAGGTGGGGGCCTCGTGCATCCAAACATCTAGTAGTCGCCCTTTTCAGCCGGCCTGGTCCTACCAAGGCGCATTGTATGGGCTGCCAGGTCAATGCCGACACACGGGGACCCTAGACGAGCGCGCAGAACTGCTCCCACAGAATTTCTTGGCCTGTGAACTTAACTGGAGCGGATCCTCGGGTCTCTTCTCCGGAGCAAGGGCTGAGTGGGTTCGAACCACCAACCAACCATTCAGCGGAGCACCTATTGGGATACCAGGGTCCCTTGGCGCTAAACTTAAAAACGGCCTCTGTGCTGGGGGGGCTTACAGTCCGGCGACAAATCACACGATAGCCGGCAGTCGCAGCGCCACAAAGCGACGCACCGGGGGCGCCCGCGGCCGGGAGCTTCGGCGGCGATGGGCCCAGTCGTCTGCTGCATAAATAAACGAGCCGAACGAGACGGCTGGCGGGGACGTGGGGGCGGAAGGCGGTCGTGAAGACCGGGAAGGCGGGCAGGGAGCGGCGCCTCGGGGGACCCCACGCCTCAGGGCCGGTCCCCGCGTCCCGCCCCCTCCTCTCAGGGCCGCGCGCCGAGCCCGGCGCGTGGAAACAAACGCTCGGCTGCCGGGACCCCGAATACCCGGGGCTCCAGCGGGTATCCTGTCCGCCTACGCCGAGCTGGCCAGGGCTCCCGGGTCTGGCCGAGCCAGTCCGCCCCACCGCGGCGCGCTCACCCTCTCACCTTCACCGTCCCGGCCTCGCGGCAGCCATCAGCCCGCAGCGTCACCAGAGCGCGCCACCGATAAGCGGGGCCGGGGAGGGAGGGACGACACGCGCGTCCCCGACGCGGCAGGTTTACGCGCTTTTCCGTGAGTCCGTGGGCTCCGAGCTCAACCGAACCACCGGCAACGACTTTGGGGGCAAGGGCCCTCCGGCTTCGCACCCCCTCGAGGAGGCTCGGCGCTGGCTCACCGCCGGGGCGTCCCAAGCCGATGACGTAGACCCCGAGACGCGCGCTGCATCTCGGGTACTGTAGTTCCGGCAGGCGCCCGTCAGGGCTGGATAGGGGCGGGGCGGGGCCTCGGACTGTCAAAGGGCAAAACAAGGGCGTGGATGAGGTGCCTCGCTTCTGCAGGCAACCCCAGACAGAGCCTGTCCCCCCAGGCCTCCGCCAGCGCTGGAATCCAAACTTGCGTTGTGTAATCTTAGCGAAAAGCTCTCAAGACTTCCAGGCCGTTAGCGTGAGGTGACTCACCTAGGGAGACAGGCACACGTTTGGATCTGGATGGGGTGTCCTTCAATTGCCTTTGGGAAAAACTTAACAAAAGCCTTGGTGTCCTTTCTGACTCATGGCGCCCCAGGTGTCAGCTTAGAATGGTGTGCCATAGGGTTTTCCATGGCTAATATTTTGGACACAAATCACCAGGCCTTTCTTCCTGGATGCCTCTGGGTAGATTGGCACCTCCAACCTTTAGGTGAGCAAGCCAATCAAGCACTTTAACCACTGACTCCTTTGAGGAAGCAATAGCAGCCAACAATGTATCAGCATCTATTAGTTGTCTGTCACGGGGCACTGAACTTGAGTCGTCTGTAATCCCTCACCACAAACCCAGGGGGGCGTGCACAGAGTTAGCCAAGCTCACATATGGTGGTGGATCACTGGGCCTCTCCCACGATTAAGCCCCTGAATTATGACTAGGGACTTGTGACCTGTTTTAAGACTTGTCTGAAAAAGGAATGTCAACTTTCATTATGTTGCAGTGGCAGCATCTTTTTACACACACTGACTGAAATTATGACATTAGAATAAATCCACAGCTTTCTTTTTACCTGTTTAGTGTCTCCTGGCAAGTTTAAAATTTTGTGAGTGGTGCCCAGTTTCTATAACCAGAGCAGATTCTTGTTGTAAACACCACAGGGTGACCAGCCTCCTGGGAGCCACAACTGGTGGGAGGGGCAGCTCCACCCTCACTGCCCTCTGGGCTAGTAGTCTGACTCTGTGACTACACCCAGGCCCTATCTTCGGGTGTGGCCAGCCCTCTGTGGGATGTGTCCCACTGGACCCTGTTACTCATTACTGGGTGCTGTGGCTCCTGTCCTCCACCCTGCATGCCCTCTGGCCTCCCCAGGGGACTGCTAGTTCTTCCTGTTCTTTCCTCTTGTTGGCAGCATTCTGCCTGAGCCAGGTAGAGGCCTGGAGGCTCTCCCTCTTAAACCTCTCTCCTGTTCCTTTCCCTACGCACCGCACTTCCCTGCAAGCTCTGGGCCAGGCTCTAGTCTCTTGCTCAGTTGGCTGCAGGTGTCTCCAAATCCAGCCCCAGGCTTCCAGTCCTGCCCTGCACCCAACACTCGGGGTCGCTCTCAGAACCACCGCCCCTGACTTCGAGGACCTTGATTCGCTCTTGAAAGGTGCCCCAGAGGAGGTGGAGGGCAAGCTGGTATGTACTCGTTGGAAGTGTGTGTTTTGCGTCCCACTTCTGAATGGCTTCTCAGTGGACAGAATTGTGTTCATAATTAGGAAGAGATGAAAAACAGCACTCAATAAACACACAATCAATGCTTATCTATGCACAGGAAGGGCACCTATGAAACATTCGCTGTGGTTGCTTCTGGAAAGAAGTGCTGGGCAGCCAGGGGTGAGGAAGGAGATTGATCAAGGTTTATGGTGTTTTCACCATTGATTTATATTCACTTGGAACAGAAGGAAGAGTCGGGACCAAAAGAAAGATAAAGAATGTGACTAATTGCCTCCTTTGCTGAGAGCTAAAGAACTGGATGGTGCCCAGCACGATTACTGAACATTTTGATCAAAGACTCTATAGTATAGAATCCTGATCCAATGTGTGTTAATTTTCATGGACTCAAAACTTTCTGGGACCATTGATCTAAAATGTTTAAAATGTAAACCAAAAATATCCCCTGAAGTCTTCTTTAGCCCTAACAATAGCGTAAGTAGTTAAAAACAAGGTCTGCCTTGAGCATTAAACTCTTTCCCCAACTTATCTGTGTGAGATCAAATTGACAATTTGAAAAGAGATGCTCACCAGGGAGCACCAACTAAGAAATTGAATTGAGAATGAGTGAACAACTCGAATGTAATTGTCACGGAATTGTATACTGCAGCATCACAATTACTTTCATCTACCTTTCTAGCTCTCGTTTGCAACCACCACCAAGTTACTGGGTAGGCTATGCAAATGAGGTGTTTGTATCCCACCTAGGGGCTTGGATGGTTTGGAACTCTACTGAGGGGAGGGGAAGTCAGTCTAGCCATTTTGCTAGGCTTAATATAAGCCATCCTAGAAACAGAAGGGGGCTCTGACTCCCACTAAGAAGAGACAGGAGCAAAGAACATCCTTCAAGCCTTGTGTGGTGAACACCCTCTACCGGGAGACAGTCTGTAACACTGGAGAGCGAGCAGCACTGGCCATCGCAGAACCAGACCACCAGAAGCAGCAAGGTGGGTTTCATGGCCGCGAAGCAAGAGCTGAGCGTCTTGACCATGATCTAGCGACCACAGTGGGGTGCCTCTGGGCACTTATTGACAGAGATTAAGAACCTTGTTAACACTTACCTAAGCAGGCCATTGGCTGGGCCAGCCAAAGAGGCCAAGGGCCCTAGGACCAGAGAGAGGCCTGTTGGGAAGAGGGTGTCCCAAGGGAAGAGCTGTATCCTGAGTTATTTCTGATCCTGAATTGTGCTGTTACTGCCTTAATAAACACCATAGTCATGTGTGTTGTCTGTGAGTTCTGTAGCCACAGCAATGGATTATGAACCAAGCAAAGTGGGGAGTGCCTGGGAGGGTCGGCTGGTGTCAGATGGTTCCGTCTGACCTCCGCCTCACAGCAGTCAGCCTTGGGCTGATGTTGACTCTCCCTCTAGTCAAAACAGAGGTCAGAAACCTCCCCCAGGCCGTCTTCACATCCATGTAGATGTTGTGGAATGTGTTGCCGCACATATTCTCAACAACAAAAGAAATATTAAGAGGAGAAATTTGTGTTTTAACTTACTGTGGGCCAACTTAAAACTAGAAGGCAACACTTTGAAACCTTTCAAATGTATACACACTCCCTGCATGACTCTAATCACCTCCTGGATAAAGTCCAAGCACTCCTTAGCCTGGGGAAAATAAGCCTTTATGGTCTGACCCCATCACCTCCACGTGACAGCCAACGTGCTCGCTCGGCCCCCAGCTCTCGGACCTTGATCCAGCCTCCCTGCCTGCTGAAAGCCTCCTCCACCTCCAAGGCCCAGCTGAAGTGGCCCCTGTTATCAGGGTTTCTCACTACCAGCATCGCCCAAACAAAACCGCTGCGGCATCAGGTCTCACATCTGGCAACACCACGTGTGACGAACTCTGCTCCACAGGGCTTTCTTGGTGGTCATCTTTAGGGTCACTGTCTAGGTGAGCAGCCAGTCCCAAAGCCCTCCCTCTGTTGACACTGAACACCAAATCTAACCCGCTGCCCAGTGGCCTGTGACCCTGTATCTCTGCAGGACAAGGTAGAACTGGGCTACAGGGTGTCCAAGGCTGTCCATCTTGATGGATGGAGACTCCAGGTCGTTTCTCACAATGTATGGCTGGTGGGCTTGAACCATCAACCTTTTGGCAATCAGCCAAGCACCTGACCACTGCAACACTGGGAGTCCTCCTATTGACATTACAAAAGCAAAAAAAACCCAAACCAAACCAAAAAAAACCCACAACCAAGCAAAATTTGACTGTTAGCAACCCTAGTGACATGCCCACTAAACAAACCCAGCCCAATCCCATACGAAGCTCCTGCCACCGACTCACTGCTGACTACTAACCCGCATCAGGGCGTCACGACTGTGCGTCTTGACCAGAGTGGCCTGCGGCATCTTTCTCCATGAGCCGCCGGTGGGTTGGTGCCCTCCTTTGGCCAGCAGCCTAGAGGCCTACTCCACGGCAGCACCGGGGATCTTCCTACTGACACCAGACCCGGATCATTGTGGAGGCTGTGCCGGGCCTTACAGGATGCTTAGCATTATCGCCGGCTTCTACCCACTAGATGCCACCAGCCATTGCCAAATGTCGCCTCCAGGGAGCAAAGCTGCCTGCATCTGAGAGGCATGCTGGTCCCCCCACCTCCTCCCACCCACTAGCTTCTGACAGCCGCTGCAGCACTTAGCACAGCGGCTCGGCTGCGTGGAGCTGCATTTCCTTCTTCCCTCCCCCACCACTGACCACGAGTGTTTCACGGGCAGGGACCAGATTTCCTCATCACTGGAATCCTATTCCAAGCTCTATTCCTACCAGCCCTGGTGGTGGAGTGGATTGTGAGTTGGGCCGCTAACTGCAAGACCGGCAGTTCAAACCCACCAGTCCCCCTGAGGAAGAGATGTGGGGCTTTCTGCTCTGTAAAGAGCAGAAATGCACAGGGGCAGCTTGACTCTGTCCTACTGGGGCGCTCCGAGTCAGATCTCAGTGCTACAAGATGAGTCAGCCCAGGCTCGCTCTGCGGGGGCTGCCAGAAGCAGCAGCGTCCTTTCTCCCAGCTCGTGTTGCGGGAGGTGGGGTCAGCAAGGCTTCCAAGCCAAGGGTCCTGCCTGACACGGGCCTTGAAGGATTAAGAAGCATGCCCAGTCCACCAGTGCTGGACTCACAGGAAGGTTTGAGAGAAAATCTCTAAATGACAGAGACACAGGTGACTAGTCTGGGCTGCAAAGAAGCCCAGTCTCCTGGCACGCACCAAACATGGGTTCTCAGAGCGCGCCCCCACCCCCTCGCCCCGTGCCATCTCCTGGCCCCCAGCAGCTCCCACTCCGTGGCTGTAAGAGTGTTTAATAGAAACTCTCCCGTGTACGTCAGTCCCTCTTTCAAGAGGCACAGGGACAGGTTGACCAGTGTGTGGACATAGCCCTCTCGGCCTCCCCTGCCAGGGTCAAGGGGAGGCTCGGGCTGTGGCTGTGGTTGTGACAGACACAGGCAGGTGTTCCGAGTAGCTGTCTCCAGGGGCAACGTTCTGGTCTCACAAAAGGAGCCACGGGAGAAGGGGGCTCTGGTGGTCCTAGGGTTGGGGAAAGGGTGATGGTGGTCTCCTTCAAGCTGGAAGCAGAGTCTCTGGAGCTGCAGCTCTGGCCTGGAGAAGCTCTGGGGCGGGGCTTCTTGCCCCTAGAGCTCCTGGGGCAGTTTGGGTAGGCTCCATCTCCACGAAGTCTTGGCCAATGGGAAACGTGGAGGTCGAGGCTCGTGGTTTGTCGGGAAGTGTTGGGGAGGACGGCTCTCTACAAAGCAGTGGCAGTGAACAGCCTTTCTGGGGTGGACCAAGGCACCCCGAAAGCCCCCACCGAAGAGCTCCTGGGCCTTTGGCCCCACGCCCCATCTCTCCAGCTGACAGCTCCACCAGCAGTGGGGAGTCAAGAGGCCGGACCAGCTCCCTGGGACTCTGGGGCCCCAGAAGCTGCTGGCAATTAGGGGTCGACAAAGGAGACGGCGATGTAGCGGGTGCCCTTGGTGGTGGGGAGGCCCTCGTGGTAGTGCGTGAGCCGGCCGGGGTGCAAGAGCGTCCAGCCTTTCCTCGGGGCACGGATGGAGCAGTTGTAGCGCAGGAACCGGCAGCCCCCGCCCTGAGGGACGGGAAGTGTCAGTTCACCAACAGGAAGCTGGGCCCTTCCTCCACTGCCCCCTCCCCCACGAAGCAGGTCCTTAGCCCAGCCTGCTAAAGACAGAGTGAGCCAGAGCATTGGCCAAGGGGGCACTCAGCCCCAGGCAAATCTCTACTCCACTACGGCCTCGTATCCCCATCTCTAAAACGTGGGTCACGTGAAAGAAGGTTGTGAGCGTGAGAGACGGTCTAAGGCAGTGGTTCTCAACCTTCCTCGTGCCGCAACCCTTTCATACAGTTCCTCATGTTGGGGTGACCTCCAAAACATCAAATTATTTTCGTTGCTACTTCATCACTGTAACTTTGCTATTGTTCTGAACCGGGCTACTCCTGTGAAAGGGTCGTTTGACCCCCAAAGGGGTCACAACCCACAGGTTGAGAACCACTGGTCTAAGAGCTTATGCCCAGATCATTCGACCCAGCACCGTGGGCATTTTGAGTCAGACAGTTCTTCGTTGGGGCATCCCCAGCCACTGCCTATGAGATGCCAGCCCCGGTCGGTAGCACGTCTACAGCTGTATCGACCCAAAACGCCTCCAGTCATTTCCAAGCGTCCACTGGGGGCAGCAGGGCACTCAGCTGGCAAGCCCAGGCCTAGGTGTTCCCTCCAAAATTGGCCTCTGTGCTCACGGGTGGGCTTTACCATAGCATCAGGAAGCCCTCTGTCTGCAGGAGACCCTGCTCCCTCTCTGGTCTTCTGGGACCCTGTCTCCACCACCCTGGAAGCGTCAGGGCCCCTGCCCGCCCTCAGCCCGCTCACCTCGTAGTCCACTCCCACCCGGTTGAGGGCAATGTTGATTGTGAAGGTGGAGGCATCGTGGTGTGGCATCAGCGAGGGCTGTTCGTCGGGCTTGTAGCGGACAACGAAGGCCAGGTCGAACTGGGCCTGCAGCACGGTGGGGAGGGGGGAGGTGCGTTAGTGGGAGGGGGGGGACCTGCTCTACGGGGACCAGCTTCCTCACCATGCCCCCAGGGCCTGGATCTCAATAAGAAATAAGGGGAGGAGCCCCCCCCCACCCACTATCATGACCCTAATTCTACCTTACAAATCTGGCTAGACCAGAGCATGTACATGGGTACAGATCAGAGCTGGAAACGCAGGGAATCCAGACAGCTAA